AAAAAAAAAAAAAAAAAAAAAAGCACAGGGCTGGGCTGTGTAGCTCAATGCCACGGCACTGGGTTCCATCCCCAGTAAACAAAAAAAATAGGTACGCTGAAGTCCCCACCACCTGGGTATTTAGCGGTATTTGGAAGCTGAAGTTTTTTCCTTTTTTTTTGAGACAGGGTCTCACTATGTAGTTGAGACTGACCTGGAACTCACTATGTAGCCTAGGCTGGTCTCAAACTCAGCGATCCTCCTGCCTCAGCCTCCCGAGTGCTGGGATTACAGGCGTGCACCACCATGCCCGGTACTTGAAGGTAAGTTTTACACAGGCAATCAGGTGTAAACAAGGGGTTGGAGAGGGTCTTGATCAGTAGGACAGTGTCCCCAGTAGAGGGGACATCTAGAACCACAGCCACACATAGGGACACCCGAAGACAGCGGGAGGGGTGGTAGGTGTTACCTTCAGCTTCCCAGTTTGTAGCGTTTTGTTTGCTCTGCAGTGCTAATGAGGGAACCCAGAGTCTGGTGCGAGCTAGGCAGGTGCTCACCATTGAGCTGCACCCCTAGCCTTTTTAATTTTTAAAATTTTAAAATAAATTTTATTTGATCCTACCCATCCACCTCCAACTCCCTACGTACAAAAGCTGTTTCCATTTTCACTTTTGTGGTCCTTTTCTTTCTCCCTCCCTCCTCCCTGTTCCCCTTCATATTTGAACACTTTCTTCCTATTTCCCAGTATCTATTATACACATTTTAGTCCTTATTTCCACTTTTGGTTTTTCACACCAGAGAAACAATGTGGTATTCAAACATGTGCGTCCGATTTATTTCACCTAAGAGTATGGTCTCAAGGTCCATCCATTTAGCTCACCCTCCATTATATTAAAAAACGTTTTTGTTTTTGAGACAAGGTCTTACTATGTAGTTGAGACTGGAGACTGACCTGGAACTCACTATGTAGCCCAGGCTGGTCTCGACCTCAGTGATCCTCCTGCCTCAGTCTCCTGAGTGCTGAGATTACAGGTGCACACCACCACACCCGGCTAAAACCACATCTTCTTTATCCATTTTGTTGATTGAGGGGCATCCGGGCTACTTCCAAGATATAGCTATTATAAACTGAGCCGCTATAAACATGGGTGTGCATATACTGCTGTGGTATGATGCTTTTACTTTGTTTTCGGGTTTTTTGGCGGGGTACCAGGGATTGAACTCAGGTCCTTGTGCTTGCAAGGCAGGCCACCGAACCGCTTTTACTTCTTTTGGGAAGATACCCAGCAGAGGAATAGGTGGGTCAAACAGAACCTCTAGTCCTAGTTTTTTGAGGACTCTCCACACTGATTTCCACACTCCCACCAACAATGGAGCAGGGCTCCCCCACCACAGCTTTTTCCAGGATTTGCTACTGGTTGATTTCTTTTTTGGGGGTACCGGGGATCAAATTCGGGACCTTGTGCTTGCGAGGCAAGTGGTGGCACCATTGAGCTAAATCCCGACCCCTGGTTGATTTCTTGACAGCAGCCATGCTTTCTGGAGTGAGATGGAATCTCAGTGTTGTTTTCATCTGCATTTCACAAATGACCAACGACATCAAACATTTTATTTTTATTTTTTGGTAGTACCAGGGATCCAACTTAGGACCTTGTACTTTTGAGGCAGACACAGTGCCACTGAGCTAAATCCCCAGCTCATTTTATTTTTAGTTTTTTTTTTCCCCAGCCCTTTTTGTTCTCCCTAAGCCTCTAAGTTGCTCAGGCTGACCTTAACCCTGCGATCCTCCTGCCTCAGCTGAGAGGCTGGGATGACAGGTGTGAGGCTCTTTACACCCTCACAAGAGTGACTTGGCTCAAGTGTGGTCACAAAGCAGGCATTTGAACCATAGCACCAGTGAGAACCGGCTGGGGTCTCACAGAGTCCTTGTCCACACTCACAGAAACCCATCGCCATGGGAACCTCACACCTAAGGCCGCCACCCTCAGTGCCCAGGACCTGAGACAGCCCCAGCCCTGACCCAGACAAACCACACAGCCCGTGGCCAGAGCACCAGGAATTTATTAAACACCCCTTTCCCCACACGCAATGGGCCACACACAGGACAAGGGGCTGGGCCTGCTCCATATCTGAGTCCCCTGATGGTGACCAGCAGGGGGCCCTGACCATGAGGCAAGGGCCAGGCTGGGCAGAGGGGATGTAGGAGGGTGGGAAGGTGAGGTCAGAGGCTTCTGGCTGGAAGTCCCGGATCCCCAAAAAAGGGTGGGGGCAACAGTGGGGGCGCGAGGAGCAGGGGGAGGGGGAGGTGTCTACACCTGTCACAGAAGCATCAAACCAGCCCTTAAGACAAAGCTGTGTCCCAGGATGCAGGGCCCACACATGCACACGTGTGGGGTTACACACACACACACAAAATGAAATGCTCCTGGGGTAAGGGGCAGGGTCCCAAAGGACCCCCCCCACACCGACATACACGAACACAGCTAGAAAGTGGGAAGAGACAAGCAGGGATCATGACAAAGCCCCACATTCTGGGACCTTTTTTGGTTTTTACCTCCAGAAGAGAAATTTAAAAATCTACAAAAAAATCATGCCCAATTCATTAAAAGTGATAAAAACTCAGCCTCTTCCTGTCTACCTGAGCCACAGACCGAGCGATGCCCCCCAAAATAAAACAAGCAAAGCAGAAAGATGGAAGCGCCCAGTGAAATCTCCCCACCCAAATACAGGTCCCGGAGTGAGGCACCAGAGGGCTGGGATAGTCTGGGCAGCCCCTATGGCCGGCATGGATCTCTTAAGAGCTGGGCAGGGTGGGGGATGAGAGTGAGCAAGAAAGAACTGCTCCACAGGAAAGCTGGTTTCCAAGGATAAAGTTTAAAAACAGGGAAGGTGTCACAGCAGATGGCATCGGAGGTCTGGGCATGGCAGAGGCAGGGGCTCAGCGCAGCCGCCATCAGCTGTGCTGCTCTAGGTAAGCTGACAGGAGCAGCCCCGGGGGCAGGAAGTCCAGGTGGCGGTTGCTGACCTTCATCTGCCGCCTGCCCTCCAGGTCGGCACCTGTGGGGGGACAGTGGGGGGAGGGGAGGAAAGGATCTGAGTCTCATTTATCCGCCCCCTCCCTGCCAGGGGACACTGCAGCAAAGCAGCCTCAGGCCAAGAGTCTGGCCTCCACTCCCTCCCTCTCCCATGCTCCTGCCCAGGCCCTGGGGAGGCGACTTGGAAGCGTCAGGGCCCCAGGTGGTCGGACCCCCAGACAGCAGGGAGCCCGACCTCTACTCTAACTAACCCCGCCCCCGCCCAGTGTCCAGGGCATGGTTCCGCCCGGGGTGGGGGGTGTGCGGGACGACCCTCTCCCCTGCGGCTCCATCTTTCAAGAACAAAGGCAGGTGTAGGCACTGAGTCTCAGGAACAGCAAGTGCCGGCCTATGGCTGCCATGGAAACCATCTCCCAAGCAACTCCAGGCGGGAGGCAGAGGCAGGTGTGGGAAGCTGGGACCACAAGGGGCCGTTGGGGCTTGCGGAGGCACGAGAGGATCCTGAGATGACCCGCTCCGTCCACAGAGGCAGGGACCAGGTCCCAGGACGGGGGGCGTGTGTGCTGGCCCTGTCACTGTGAACATCCAGGCCCCCTGCTCATCTCTGAGTCTTCATCACCCCAACTGGGGTTCCCGGCGCCCCAGTGCTAGAGATGTGGGGAAAAGAGTGTCTGCATCCCGGCAGTAGCCTGCGCCACACAGCAGGACGCACAGGGTACTACTAATTAATTTATTGGTTTTTTGGCAGTACAGGGCTGGAACCCAGGGCCTTGGCACTGAGCCACATCCTCAGCCTGCTTTTATTTTTTATCATGAGACAGGGTGTTGCCAGGTTGCTAGGATGCTTAGGCAGGGCTTGACTGTGAGACACTCCTGCCTCGGCCTCCCAGTATTGGGATGACAGATGTGCACCGAGCTTGACTGCTATCGCACCTCCCTTCAAGCATCCCACTAGGGCGCTGCACCCAGACTGTGCACTGGCTACGTGGAGGGCCCCACACTTACTCGCTGAGATGAGGTCCATGTACTGGCACACGGCGTGGAGCAGCAGCCTCTCGAAGCTGTGGAGGGGAGGAGGTGAGCGGGCGGCCAGGAGCCCCTGGGGTAGAGGAGCTTGTGGGGCCCCTCCACACCCACTACCTGTTGTCCAACATAGCTGTGTACACGGCCTGAGGGTACACAGAGAAGAACCTCGACAGCCGGTCCTCCCAGGTCTCCAGGGTCTCCTGCAGAAGAGATGCCCCAGGCATCAGGCCACCATGCAACCCGGTGGGCTGGCCAGGTCCCCCACATCTGGGGCGGCCTCTGGAGCCCAAAGCTCTGGGTTCAAATGGCACCTTGACCCACTACATGAGGCTATCTGTTATACCATGTCCAGCTTGTCCCTTCTGCCTAGCAAACTCCTACACACCCTGCGGTGCCTACTTTCATTATCCCATGCTTCCTATTCTCAAGGACAGCAATTGCCTAGCTGAGGGTCCTGCACATTGGTCTCCCTCGCCTATATGGCATTGTCTCCCATCATGTAACCTGCCTTGGATAATCTGTTTCCCTTCAATCTGGCCTCAAGCCCCAAGTGAAAACCTGTGGTGTGGAAAAAAA